TACCCCAGGCCCACCCCCACTTCATGTGCCTTGGCCCAGACTGAGCAGCTCAGAGACCAGATCCTTAACCAATTGGTGACCTTGAGCTTGGCCAACTTGACCACAGTGTCACCTTGTGTGGCTGCAGCCGACTCGGATCAGGGCTCCAGGCTCCAGTATGGGGGTGGGGCAGAGGTGATGAGCACAGGTCCCAGACCCCAGGGCGCCCCCCTTCCTCCCTCAGACCCCAGGGCGCCCCCCTTCCTCCCTCAGACCCCAGGGCGCCCCCCTTCCTCCCTCAGACCCCGGGGCGCCCTCCTTCCTCCCTCAGACCCCAGGGCACCCTCCTTCCTCCCTCAGACCTCAGGGTGCCCCCCTTCTGCCCTCACCTCCTCTCCCTTCACCCTCAAGCTCACTTTAATGTCTTTAGTGATAACGAGGGTGTTTTAATGTCTTGAACCAGCCCAGGCCCAACTGGGGCGAAGAAGCCTCCACAGACACCCTCCAGGATTACCACACCCGCCCCGGAGCCTGGACCAGCCATCAGCTCTGTCCCCACCTCCCCAGTAGACACACGTTTCGCTGGAGTCCACTCCCTGTGTCCAGCCCCGCTGCTGCCCCTCTCCTTCCTCTCCCTCACTTCCCCCAGGAGCACCCCATGTTCAGCCTCTCCCTCCGCCCCCCAGGAGCCTCCTCCCTGCATCCAGCATCAGCCTGATACCCCTTGTCCTCTGCCCCAGGTCATGTTCACGGACATCGGCCTGACCGTGAGGGATAACGAGGGGGCCACAGCCCTCCACTTTGCGGCTCGAGGCGGCCACACCCCCATTCTGGACCGGCTCCTGATAATGGGCGCGCCCATCATGAGAGACTCCTGGGGCGGGACCCCACTTCACGATGCTGCTGAGAATGGGCAGTTGGAGGTGAGGTGGGGGGGACTGGACACCATGGTGAAACTAGAAAGTCCCTGAGTGCTCAGGCCGCTGGCCACCCTCTGACGGCCATCACCTCGCAGCAGCCCTGCGAGAAGGTCAGCTTGCTCCTCCTGGTCCAGGAGCTTCTCAGCACAGGGTCCTGGAACCACAGGGCACGATCTGCCTGGGCTCTTCTCAGTGACGCTGAGGTCTCACCTATGTTCTCATCACACACCTTCTATCTCTTGTTAAGATGGAAGGGGTGCAGGTCACACCAGGGAAGTGCCCTTTACCAGGTCAGGGCTGTGACCTGACGAGGCTGTGGCAGCCCAGTCTCGTACCCTGACCACTGACTGTGGCCACCTCAGACCACATCCATATTACAGCATTACAGGATTGCCCCATGACATCATTACAGAACTGTCAACCTGTGAGAATCGTCATCCAGATATTCTAGGGGACACAAGTCATTCCATGGCACTTGCCAATGTCAGATGGCAAAGCTGGGACCCAAAGACAGACCTGGTGCTGCTGGTGCCGCAGAGCCAGCTCCATGACAGGGATAGTCCCCCAGCAGCACACCGGGTGGTCCCCCTGCGTCACACTGGGTGGTCCCCCCGTATCACATGGTCACTGGGTGGTCCCTGCATCACATGGTTCCCCTGCAGCACACCAGGTAGTCCCCCTGCGTCATACTGGGTTGTCTCCCTGCATCATACTGGGTGGTCCCTGCATCTCATGGTTCTCCTGCAGCACGTCTCCCTGCATCCCACTGGGTGGTCCCCCTGTGTCACACTGGTCTCCCTGCATCACACTGGGTGGTCCCTGCATCACATGGTTCCCCTGAAGCACACCGGGTGGTCCCCTGCGTCACACTGGGTGGTCCCCCCATATCACATGGTCCCCCTGCATTTACACCAGGTGGTCCCTCTGTGTCACACTGGGTGGTCCCACTGCAGCATTTAAGCTTCATCGTGTAAGTGCACACTGCACGGGCATTGGATACCGTGAGCATAGCTATTCTGTGCGCTGGGAACCAGCACTCCCCAGACTCTTAGTCAGGCTAGCTGTACTACGAGGGTCTGGGAGTGGACCAGCCATGTCACTAAGATCTGCTTGTAGTAAGGTCCTTGCTTCAGGTCCTGAGGGCATCTTGAAACAGCTCAGAGTCCCCCTTCCCAAACTTGTCCTTCTTAGAGTCCCTGCATTCAGAACCCAAACCCCTTCGACCCTAATCTGCACCCTCTCCCAAATTTCCATCATCCCACCCTCCTTCCCTATTCACCCTCCTCCCAGCCCACCCTCCTCTCTGTTCTATCCTTTACCACACCTTGCCTCCATCCCACCCTCCTCCTCAGCCTCCTCCATTCCTCTCCTCCTCCTCCTCATTCCATCCTCCTCTTCCCCTCCTTCCTCCCAGCCTTCCTCCACCCCACCCTCCTCCTCCTCTGCCCTCCCACCCCCATCACTAGGAAAAGCCCCAGACCAGCACCACCTTCTGTCAGATGTGCGTCCTTCAGTCAGTGAACACTTGCATGTCCATAAACACTTCACAGGAGCACAGGAACACCGCAGCCCAGCTTCCTGCCAGCCTCCTCAGGTTCTCTCAGCTGCCCCACCGTGGCTGAGCTGAGTAACTGAGAGGCCACAGACTGAAGCATCTTCTCCCTCGTTCTACAAACATGTCTGGAGGCCTGTCAGGAATGCCTTCACTGTCAAGGATGAGTCACTGCACACCCAAGTCCACAGGTGGTGGTTCTGAATGTCTCCAGGCCACTCTGCCTAGACACCACCCTTTTTTGGGCCCACACTTCTCGGCAAATTAAATCCAAGTTCATAGCCACCTTGGGCCTTGGCCATTCATCTAATGGTGTCAGAGAAGGGGCCAGGCAGGCGGCCCTCGCACGGCACATCTCCCACCTCTGAGCCAGAACTGCTTGAGTGCACCTTCCAAGTCAGCTCTGAGCTGGCCTGACCCTCTCTGCATCCAGCAGGAGGACGTTCTTCCCAGTCCCCCGCTGTCCTCACAAGCCAGTAATTTCTGAATGCCTCCGGGAGGAGCCTGGGCTGGGGCCTCTCGACCCGAAGTAGGGCCATGACCACGACCCGCTGGACCAGGCTTGGCTCACCCCTGAGGCTGGGGAGAGCCTATCTTCCCTGAAACCCTTCCCTGCTGGCTGGAGAGTTGGGGTGTGGTTAGCAAGAGGGGGGCTAACACCGTGTCTTGTGTTGTGGTTGTTAGTTGCCATCAGGTTGGCCCCTGCCCCTGACAGCGTTGTGTCGAGGGTCCCCTGGCTGTCGTCTTGTAAGGAAGCAGAGTTCCAAGCCTTGCTCTGTCGTGCCTCTGAGCGAGTTTGAACTGTGACCCTTTAGGTTAAGCAGCTGAGGGCAACTGTGCCCATCATCGCTGCCGCCCCTGCCGCTCAGTGAGCTGGAGCCCTTATGCACGTAACGCACAGAACAGCGTGCACACGTGTGGCAGGAGGGCAGCCACACGGTTTCCACAGTCACCGTGTACCGTGGATGTCATTGCATTAAGAGTACAACTCTTGTCCGGCTCACTGACCAGCCCAGGCTGTGACCAGTGTCCCTGTGGCCTGGGTGCCAGGCTCTCCTACAGTCCAGCCTCTCACAGGCTCTCAGCTTCCTGGTGATGTTCAGGACCCTGGTGGCACAGTGGTTAAACACACAGCTGATAACTGACAGGTTAGCAGTTGGAATCCACCTGCTGGTCCTGGGGAGACAGGTGAGGCAGTCTCCTCCAGGGAGGATCCCTCGTGGGGGCAGAGCTGTGCCATCCTGCAGGTCGCGAGTGAGAGTGGCTGGTGACCGATGTGATGGGATTAGTGCATGCTTGGAGCCTAGTGCTGCGTGACTGAAGTGCTCTGTGTTGGCGAAAAGTCAGCAGTTCAAGCCCACTAGGTGCTCAGGGGAAAGTTGAGGCTGAGTGCTGTCTGGGGGACTCTGAGGGGCAGCCGTGCTCTGTGTCATTGGGTCACTGTGCTGTAACCCCGAGGGTCAGGGTCACTGTGCTGTAACCCCGAGGGTCAGGGTCACTGTGCGTGGGACCCC